AACAAAAAAAAAAAAAAAAAGTAAACAGATACAAAGAAAACACAAGTGGAAAGTTACTTTGTGAAAGATTGGATGACAGACATGGAGACAGAAAGGGAGGGAGACAGCTCTGCAGGACACAGGAGGCCATTAGAGCTGGGAAATGTCACCAGCCCTGGGGCTGCCACGTCTGGCACCATCAGGCTAATGGATGTTGGGCTCCGTTGCCAGCGGCCTCCTGCGTCCCCTCTGCAGCTGGGCCTGGCTCCTGCACCTCAGAAGTCTCTGCCCAGACCTGTCATGGGGACCCAGAGAAGGTGGCTCTGGGCTGGTGTCGCTGTCCCTGTGGTTGGTGGACTTTGCTCAGATCTGAGGACTGGGTGAGGGGCTTGCACCCCACCTGGCATGAACCTGGGGCCCAGGTCAGGCACAAAAGACTGCAGACTCGGGCCTTGCAGGCTGGCGCGTCAGGCACTCTGGCACTGACCTTTTCCTGCTCCTGCCAGGGGACGGGGCCACCTACAGTTCAACAGACTGGTGGAGCGGGGACTCGGGTCCCGGTGCTGCAGGCAGGGATGAGTGGGGTGCAGTTCTTGTTGTCACTGGGCTTCCTGGGAGCCCCACGGGAGCACAGGACGTGAGGGAGCCTTCGAGCGAGCCTCGGTTGTCTCTGCTGTGGCTGGGATGAGAGGGGCGAGTGTAGACGCGTCACGGGGAGATGCGGGCCTTGAGTTGTCAGCCGAGGGTGGGGAAGAAGGCCAGGGACGTCCGGGTCCTGGGCGCAGCCAGGCCACCCGGAGGGACCCTAAGAACGCCGCGTGTGGGGGTGGGGGTGGGGATCACCTGGGAAGAATAGCTGAGCAGGGGCCGCCCAGGGCCGGGACCAGAACGGCAGGGCCTGGCTCAGCTTCCAAAACGTCCTTCCCATGGCATTGTGCAGAGCAGGCCTGCGGGTGGCAGGAGACGCGTCCTGGCCTGGGGACCCTGCACTGTCACCTGGCGGGGCCGTGGGGCCATAGAAGTTTCCTCCATGTCTCTGGGCACACAGTTCTGAGGCCTAGGGTGGCGGGAGGGGCGGCTGGGGCCTGAGGGAATGTGCTTTGTGCCTGGAGACAAAGAACAGAGCCGGGCCTCCCAGGGCGGGGACTGGGAGCTGCTGCCCGCACCCAGGCTGAGGCTGGGCGCTAGGCCTGGGCCTTGGTGCCCCCAGGTACCCAGTGCGTAGGTGCCTGGCTGAGGCCCCCAGGGTGAGGGGTGGCAGGCCAGGTGCATATGGGGGAGCTGCTGGATCCAGGGAGGTGTGGTGCGCCCCAGACCCTGAGTGCCCCGTCTCTTCCCAGCCCTGTCGCTGAGGCCGAGGCCCCACCCACGGGGCAGCAGGATGAGCAAACTGCCCCGCGAGCTGGAGCGCAGCCTGCCGGCCGTGGCGTCCCTGAGCGGGTCGCTGTCTCACAGCCAGAGCCTCCCGTCACACCTCCTCCCGCCGGCCCTGGAGAAGCGCCGGGCCATCTCCGACGTCCGCCGCACCTTCTGCCTCTTCGTCACCTTCGACCTACTGTTCATCTCCCTGCTCTGGATCATTGAGCTGAACGTGAGTGGGGCACAGCCTGCGGGAGGGGTGGGTCAGTGGTCCTCAGTTTACCCCTCTACTGCGTGAGAGTGCCGCCTCTCCCATGGGGCTAGTGAAGCACTGCAGGTTGCAGCAGCTGCTGTCCCCTTCCCGGTAGGAAATGAAGTCTTTGGGCCTGGGCTCCCCAGCCATCGGGGTTGGGTGGAGGTGCTGCCCCCTAGTGGTCACCCTGGGAACAGCGGTGGAGAGGACCAGCCCTGGCTCCTCTGATCCTGGGGCATGTTTAATTCGTCCAGTGGTGGCTTCTGTTCCTGCATTTAACTCAGCAGTACATTTGGAGCCCTGGCTAGGTCCTAGGCCCTGTGCTAACTGCAGGGGTACAGCAGGGAGCTGCAGCTCTGGTTTTGGTGCAATGCAGCCTGGTGACCAGGAGACAGCTGCCCCAGCCTGCAGGGTCCACTCCCCCCACCAGCGGGTATGGGGCTGACCAGCCTCGGTGCCCCGCAGTCCTGGGGGCAGTGCCCCCCTGCAGCTCCCAGCCCCTCAGTGTTGCCTTCCCCACACTGCCCTGGGTGTGGGGCCCTTCCTCCAGGTCCCAGGCTTGGGGGACAGAAAGATAATGCTTGTTTCCTTGGTTGCTTGTTTTTTTGTTTTTTCAAGTGGGTCTTGCTATGTTGCCCAGGCTGGCCTTGTATGTGGAAGCTCAAGCAATTCTTCTGCCTCAGCCTTCTGATTAACTGGGCCGACAGACCCAGCTAACAGTGCCTTTGTACCTGAGATCGAACCCAGTGCCTTTGCTCAAGCTACATCCCAGCCCTTTTCTTATTTTTTATTTGAGATAGGTTCTTGCTAAGTCACTAAGTTGCCCAGTCTGGACTTGAACTTTCAGTCCTCAGCCTCCCACAGTGCTGGGATTATGCACATGCGCCACCACACCTGGCTAACAATGTCTTCTTGATAGAGGTGGAATTTGGCAAAGAGGCTGGCTTAGAGAAAGAGGACGCTTTGGTTCTGGGTGTGTGCTCTGAGGGTGAGTGGCTGTTCTTTTGCAGCAGAACTGAGTCGCCACCAACAATACGACAGGGCCACTACCAAGGGGGCCTTGGGGACCAGACCTGGAGTCTTTGCAGAACTCCAGGGTCCTGGGATTCTCCTTTCTAAGGTCCCCACTAGCACCTGAGCGAATGCTGGGACCCTCCCCGCCCTGCGTGCAGGGCGCATTCCACAGTGGAGCCGGAGCACTTCTGATCCTGCAGAAGTTACCTGGCTGCCAGGGTCGGCTTCCTGCCTGCTCGAGAATCCCTGCACAGCATGAGGGTCTCGCCTCCAAATTGTTCTCCCACATGATGAGAACTCGGAACACCTGTGTAACTGTTCACAGGATCGCCCTGTCTCCTGGGCAGGCACCTGACGAGGACGTTACTCGCTTCTGATCGTACTGTTTTATTCCTGTGTCCTGCTCTGGGCATGGTAGGGTTCTCTGCTGTCAAAGCCCTGAGGTGGGGGAGCCCCGGGAGCTGTCCTGGGGAGCAGGAGGGCTAGGGTGCGCGCCAGGCTGGGATGTCTGCCGGGGTCTGGAGCATCCATCCGTCCAGACTGCCCAGTCGCCCGCAGCCTTATCGGACCCCTGGGGTTCAGACTCTGTGCCCTGAGCTCTGCCTCCTTCCCAAACCCCAGATTCAGGATCTGCAGGAGACCGGAAGCCCCCGTCGGGGTTCCTGGGTGCGGTCCTGGGGCATCTGGCGTCCCCCTTCTCTGGGGCTCTGGCACCCGTCCCTTCTGAGGTGCTGCTGCAGTATCTGGAGCCCAGGCCAGGGTCTCAGGGTCGGGTGCCGGGGGTGGTTAGGGTCCCCTGCCTGTCCTAATGGCTTTTCCTCATTAAGCACAAACATAATCAGGGTGACCACCTGGGGCCCCATCTGACTGCACCCACCTGGCCGGCTGACGGGTGCTGAGGCAGAGGAACTATGTGGGAGGCCGCCCACCCTGCTAGTGGCCACTGCCCACCCCAAGCTGCCAAGGCAGAGCACTTGAACCCAGTGCTGCCTGTCAGAGCTACCTGCTGTCTGCCACCTTTGGTGTTGTTGTGGCTGCTGTTTTGTGAAAGGGATCTGGCAGTGTAGTCCAGGGTGGCCTTGAAATCACTGTGTAGGCCAGGCTGACCTGGAACTCACAGCAGTCCTCCTGCCTCAGCCACCCATGTGCTGGGAGCAAAACCTGCTGCTTGAGGAATAGTATTAGTACCAGGACCAGTGAGTCCCCTGTGTGTGGTAGCTTAGCCTTGACAGCTGTGCTCCAGGTTCATGCCGTCCCCAGAGGCAGGCTGGGAGCTGGTTCTGCCTGCCAAGCTCTTCCTGTCTTCCTCCCAGACCAACACGGGCATCCGCAAGAACCTGGAGCAGGAGATCATCCACTACCGCTTCAAGACCTCCTTCTTCGACATCTTTGTGCGTAGCCTGAGGGCGGAGCAGCAAAGTGTGGTCGTCTGGGTCCCCTTCAGCAGCTCACACCCCGAATGATCAGACAGACTCTGCCCCTGTCCTGCAGAGTCCTAAGTCTTCAAGAGGTTCCTGGGGGGGTAGAGGGGAGGGGAGAGATGAGGCCCCCTTTCCGGTCGCATGCAGGAGCCAGGCGTGGTGGCATACACTTGTCATCCCAGCACTGGGGAGGCTGAGACAGGAGAGTTGCTGCATAGCGAGGCCCTGTCACCAAGAGCCAGTCACATCGGGTGATCCCAGAGAAGCCCTGAGCCTGCTGTTCTCTCCTGAGGGGAGTGTGCCCGTAGGAGGACCGGAGGAGCAGTGCAGAGGGGCGCCCTGGGTGGCAGGGCACTGGCTCACGTGCTGGCACTCGCCCCCACTAGATCCTGGCCTTCTTCCGCTTCTCTGGGCTGCTGCTGGGCTACGCCGTGCTGCGGTTGCGGCACTGGTGGGTGATTGCGGTAAGACGCCCCTGCACTCTGTGCCCTGCGCAGCCTGGGGGAGGGGGAGGGGGAGGGAGGGGGACACCACCAGCCCCGCCCGCCTTCAGCCCTGTCCCATCCCACAGGTCACCACGCTGGTGTCCAGTGCGTTCCTCATTGTCAAGGTCATCCTCTCTGAGGTCAGTGGCTGGGGCCCAAGGACGGTCTCTGTCTCTGGAGTGGGGCACCTGAGCTTGTGGGGTCGGGGTGTGGGTGAACCCTGTCCTGTGGCCGCCTCAGCGGCTCCTGGCCCCTCGGGAATCAGCGTTCTTCCTGCAGTCTAACCGCACTTCAGGCTGCTACAGATTTAACCCCAGCCTAGAGGCCGCTCTGGCTCTGGGGGGCCCCTGCCGTGGAGCTCAGCGCCCCCTTCCTTCGCGTAGTTGCTCAGCAAAGGGGCCTTCGGCTACCTGCTCCCCATCGTGTCCTTTGTCCTTGCCTGGCTGGAGACCTGGTTCCTTGACTTCAAAGTCCTACCCCAGGAGGCGGAGGAGGAGCGATGTGAGTGTGGGGTGGGAGCTCAGGGGACCTGTGTATGACTGTCCACATCTGGGACAGCCCATGGCTCCCTTGCCTGCTCCCCAGGGTACCTGGCAGCCCAGGCGGCTGTTGCCCGAGGGCCACTGCTGTTCCCAAGGACGCTCTCCGAGGGCCAGTTCTACTCCCCCCCAGAATCCTTTGCAGGTGAGGGGGAGGAGGGGGCGGGGCCTGTTCCCGCCGGGCTCCCTGGGGACTGCAGCCCCTCCCCCAC